GCTTTTTGGAGGTTAATTGGAGATAAGAGTCTCACAGACTTTTCCTATCTGGTCTGTTTTTGAACCATGATCCTCAGATCTGAGCCTCTTGAGTTGCTAAAATTATGGGCATGAACCACCGGCACCCAACTGGTCTGAACTTTTTTAACAGTTGACCTGTGCTCCTGAAAGCATGAAATTAAAGATTTATGTGCTGGATTATATGTTTGCTCAGTTCTTCCTCCAAGGTTTCTTTTTTTTGGGGGGGGGGGGGGGGGGTCTGGTCATGGGGCCTGAACTCTGGGCCTGGGCATTGTCCCTCAGCTCTTCAGCTCAAGGCTAGCGCCACAGCGCCACTTCTGTCTTTTTTCTTTTTGCTTATGTGGTGCTGAGGAATTGAACCCAGGGCCTCATGCATGCAAGGCAAGAGCTCTACCACTGAGCCACCTTCCCAGCCCCCTCCTAGGTTTCTTAATGACAGAAAATTTTCTTTTGCTTCTGCATATTTTTAGGGTTGACTTTGATAAGGACTGTGAAGATCCTGAATATAAACCACTCCAAGGGCCCCCAAAAGATCAAGATGATGAGGTAAGTTTTCACTTGAGTCCAGCTTTTCTCTAAGTAATCATTTTTCCCCTCAATCTGTAAACCTTGAAGTATATTAATTTATAATACAAAGTAGAAAACAAATATCATGTGAGAATACAAAGTTTTAATGGTAAGGCTTTTAGTACCAGCTGGGGGAGATTAAGTGGGACCCAAGCTGGATAATAAATGATATTACAATTTGACTAAAAGTTCCTAAAACCCATTATCTTACATTATTATTAGGAACTCATTTTCTAGATTTTACTTTCTCTTCTTCATTCCCTTGGTGCCATACGGTACCCAGAAGAAGGTGATTTTAGAGTATCTACTTTCCTCTTCACTCTTTCCTCCATCCTGTGGGGTGGATCTGCTTTTCTAGGGTGATCCTTTGATGATGATGGATGAGGAGATCTCAGTGATTGATGGAGATGAAGGTACATCCTAGGTCAATATTGTGTGATTGGGAGGGAATTGGGAAATTACTGGCTGAATTCTATCATATTATACGGTTTCCAAATATTTGCCTTGCATCCTATTCATTCTTTGTTTCCCACAGCCCAGGTGACTCAACAACCAGGGCATCTATTCTGGCCTCCAGGCTCTGCCTTAACAGCTCGGCTTCGCCGCCTAGTAACAGCCTATCAGCGCAGCTACAAGAAAGAACAAATGAAGATAGAGGCTGCAGAACGTGGGGACCGACGGCGACGGCGTTGTGAAGCAGCCTTCAAGTTAAAAGAAATTGCACGGCGGGAAAAACAACAACGGTAAAATGTAGCAGACATATTCAGTTTTTCTTCAACTATTGGCTCCATACTGTAAAGCATCATAGGAAGGATTTATTTGGAAATTACTACATACAGTTCATCTTTCCTACCTTAAATTATTATACCTCCAGTCTCTAGGAGCTAAGAATCTCATTTGTAGAGTAGGGATATAGCTCAGCTGAAGACTTCACTTACACATACAGTCACAGGTTTGATCTAGCTTCACCAGCCCCTTGTCTCTTCCCCACCCCCCCACAAATAGTTTTTTAACAATTACATCTCTGGGGAAGTCTTCTATGTACACAGTCTCATTGAGTTATTTACTTAAATCATTTTCCTCCTTTACTTGCTGGTTGCCTCTTCTGTTTTTTTGTTGTCTTCACATTCAGTTTTTGTCTTCTAAACCATCCCAAGAAATACCCAGTTTTCCTATGTATTCCTGATCTCTGTTGCTTTACTTGTTCCTTTGTAGATGGACTAGGCGTGAACAAACTGACTTCTATCGAGTAGTGTCTACCTTTGGTGTGGAATATGACCCTGACAACATGCAGTTCCATTGGGATCGGTTCCGTACTTTTGCTCGACTAGATAAAAAGACAGATGAAAGCCTAACCAAGTATTTCCATGGATTTGTAGCCATGTGCCGACAAGTGTGCCGCCTTCCTCCAGCAGCTGGAGATGGTGAGATTAGAGGGTCTAAGAGGAGCAGGAGTGGACAGTGACAGACCAACTCATGGTTCATTTCTCTGTTCACTTCTGTCTTTTACAGAACCCCCAGACCCTAACCTGTTCATTGAGCCCATCACTGAGGAAAGGGCCTCAAGGACTCTCTACCGCATTGAATTGCTTCGGCGCTTACGGGAACAAGTTTTATGCCACCCACTTTTGGAAGATAGGCTGGCATTGTGTCAGCCTCCAGGTCCAGAATTGCCTAAATGGTGGGAGCCTGCTCGTCATGATGGGGAGCTTCTACGAGGGGCAGCTCGCCATGGAGTGAGCCAAACAGACTGTAACATCATGCAGGACCCAGACTTCTCTTTTCTGGCTGCTCGTATGAATTATATGCAGAACCATCAGGCAGGAGCACCAGCTACATCCTTATCCCGCTGCTCCACTCCACTGCTACACCAGCAGTATACCTCGCGCACTGCCTCACCATTGCCCCTGCGCCCAGATGCTCCTGTTGAAAAGTCACCTGAGGAGACAGCTGTCCAAGTCCCCAATTTGGAGAGTCTGACTTTAAAGCTAGAGCATGAGGTGGTGGCCAGGAGCCGACCAACCCCTCAAGACTATGAAATGCGTGTAGCCCCCTCTGATCCTACCCCTCTGGTGTCCCGGAGTGTTCCACCAGTCAAACTGGAAGATGAGGATGATTCAGACTCTGAGCTGGACTTGAGCAAGCTGTCACCATCATCCTCTTCTTCCTCATCCTCATCCAGCTCCAGCTCCAGCACTGATGAGAGTGAGGACGAGAAAGAAGAGAAGTTAAGTGAGTGCATGTGACAGGCTACTGGTCCTCTTCCCTGTTTTGCCCTTTCTGCTCTTCCCTTCTTATCTAAATGCAACTTCTTCTGAAAAATTTGGATTTTATTTGATAAAATATCAGATGAGATCTGTAACCTTTGGACCTTTATTCAAAGCCTGTATGGTAGATACCATTCCCATTTAACATGATTCTATCATCTTTGTTCACAAATTCTTTGTGATCTCTAGCTGCTGACCGACCCTGCCCAAAGTTCTATGATGAAGAGAGTCTCTTGTCCCTCACTATGTCTCAAGATGGACTCCCAAATGAAGATGGGGAACAAATGACTCCTGAACTGCTGCTACTGCAGGAGAGACAAAGAGCCTCTGAATGGCCCAAGGTAACATTCTTGGACAGGGAGAGTTCAGAAACAAAGTTTTTTTTTTTTTTTTTTTTTTTGCGGAGGGTGGGGGGTCAGTCGTGGGCCTTGAACTCTGGGCCTGAAGATTGTCCCTCAGCTCTTCAGCTCAAGGCAAGCGTTCTACCACTTGAGCTACAGCACCACTTCCAGTTTTCTGGTGGTGTATTGGAGATAAGAGTTTCATGGACTTTCCTGCCCAGGCTGGCTTTGAACTGTGACCCTCAGATCTCAGCCTCCTGAGTAGCTAGGATTACAGGCATGAGCCACTGGCGCCTGGCAGAAACAAAGTTTTAACGGTATATGCAGGGGAAAAGAAACAGATGCTTCTAGGCTTTTTTTTGTGTGTGTCTTTTACTGATTATATGTTTTCCTTTTTCATAAAGCTCTCTTTTATTGTTTTTAATCTGTTAATGCTAAACTATTGCATGTCTGAGGAGCACATAGCTAGTGCTCAGATCCTTACAGTGGAATACCACACACACGCACGTGCGTGCGCGCGCGCGCGCGCGCGCGCGCGCGCGCGCGCGCACACACACACACACACACACATTTGTTTCTTTGTTTATTTTCCAGGATCGTGTCCTGATAAACCGAATTGACCTCGTCTGTCAGGCTGTACTCTCAGGGAAATGGCCTTCTAGCCGAAAGACCCAGGAAATGATAACAGGAGGAATTTTGGGGCCTGGCAACCATTTAATAGACAGCCCCTCTTTGACCCCAGGAGAATATGGTGACTCTCCAGTTCCTACACCACGAAGCAGCAGTGCAGCTTCCATGGCAGAGGAGGAGGCTTCTGCAGTCACCACAGCAGCAGCCCAGTTTACCAAACTGCGCAGAGGCATGGATGAGAAGGAGTTTACAGTTCAGATCAAAGATGTAAGCGCAGTATGCAGGCCTTGGGACGTGGATAAGGAGACTGTAGTTCTTCCCCGCCCCACTCCCCCCCAGTGTACAGTGCCATATTTATTTTGTAGTTGATGCATAGTAATTTTAAAATTCTATACAGATGCAATACATTCTTTGCAACAGTAAATCTGTCTCCAGATAAAGAGCTGACTATATTTTCATTCAGTGATACTGGGTATTTTGATCATCTCTCTTTTTAATTTAATTATTTTGTCAAGATGATGTATGAGACTATAGTTTTTGTTAACTAGTTTCACAGGTAGTATACTTATACATATTGTGTTAACTGTTTATTTCCAGTACTAGAGTTTGAATCTGCGGCCTCTTGCTAGGCTAGTGGTCTACCATTTGAACCATGCCCCACCCTGGTTAGCTAACTTTAGAGAAGAAGAAAAAAAAAAGAGCTCAGGGAGATTTATTTAGGAAGTCTTTTAAGTAAGAGAGGGGATCTCTATGAACTAGAGTAAAGGGAATCCTAGCTTTGAAGGAAATTTATTTGACACAGGCTTTTGGAAGACTGATTTTTAGACCTGAACTTTATTTATTGAAAAGTTGCTCAAATGACACATGGATATTATGAGCCTTATTAAGTTAAAATGACAAAGGAATGATAGCCAGGTATGGTTGTACTGTACTTATAATCTCAGTCCTTGGAAAGCTGAAGCCAGAAGGATTGTAAATTCAAGGCTACATGAGACCTAGCCTAAAAACAAAACAAAAACCAGAAATCTTTGATACTGAAATTAAATTGCTTTTTGTTTTATAGAAGGAAATCTTAATTTTTCTTTTCACTTTTTAACTTTACCAACTGGTCATTTAGTAATCAAAGGAAGAAAAGTTTTCTAAGTGAGTATGTGGTAGAAGTAACAGGATTTTGCCCTTGTGATGAATTGTCATGCTAATACAAAGCAGTGGTTCTGGAGTTTTAAAACTATATTGGGTATTCTGATGAACTCTTTGTAGATCTGCCTGAAGGGTACTAGATCGAGAAAGAAATCAAATCCTTAACTGTATATCTGATATCTACCTTAATCAGATAGCTTTCCTGCTTACCATTATTGAGCCATTGGAAAGCTTAACCTTTACTTTAAAAAACATTCCTTGTGATTTCTTTGGGTGGATGGGTTTTGTTCCTAGGAGGAAGGATTAAAGTTAACATTCCAGAAGCACAAACTGATGGCTAATGGCGTAATGGGAGATGGCCATCCACTGTTTCATAAGAAGAAGGGGAACAGAAAGAAGCTAATAGAGGTAAGTGGTAGAGAAACTCTACCCTTATGATTTAGATAAGATCTTTTTATCCCTAGTAATTGGTGAAGACAGTTGGGATCAGGGGACTGAATTATCTCATGGCTCGTTATACCATTGGCTCTGTTCCCCCTCCCTCCTTGCCCCAAAGAAGAGTATATGCTCATGGGGGTGGATTCTGGGTTTGCAGCTGGAGGTGGAGTGCATGGAAGAGCCTAATCACCTTGATGTGGACCTGGAGACCCGGATCCCCGTCATCAATAAGGTGGATGGTACTTTGCTGGTGGGTGAGGATGCCCCTCGCCGGGCTGAACTGGAGATGTGGTTACAGGGTCATCCAGAGTTTGCTGTCGATCCCCGATTTCTAGCGGTGAGTGGCAGTTCCATCCAGCCAGATTTAAAATCTTTCTCTTGGTATTTAAGCTATCTGAGGTATTTAAGCTATATGAGGTAGAAAAAGCATGCCCTGCCTCTGCAAAATAAGGGTAATAATACCCAACTTTCCTAACTCACACAATTATTGTGAGGATGAAATAAAATAATCCTAAAGCATTATTAAATGCTAGGAAAATATATACTATTCAACTATTACATAAGCCACCTAATTTTTTTCAGGAGAACTACTTAATCACTATTTTCCATTAGGACTAGTCTTTATACAATAAGCATTTATTTTTCAGAAGACTTTAGTACCTTAATAACTAGTCCAGTGGCTTCTCTTCTCTAGGGTAATTGATACTTTTCTATTGTAGTATATGGAGGAGCGCAGAAAACAGAAGTGGCAGAGATGTAAAAAGAACAATAAGGCAGAATTGAACTGTTTGGGAGTGGAACCAGTACAGACAGCTAACTCTAGGAATGGGAAGAAGGTGAGACTACATCATTTTCTTATACTAGCTATCCTATTATTAGGCTTTTAACAATGATTGTGACTGCTATCTTTTTTTTTTAATGCATGTTTTTTAAGAAAATTACTTCCTATTCACCAGAGAATTTTTAATGGTATTTATACACTCCTGTGACATCCCTGTCTTTTAAAAGGGACATAAAATTCTACAGAATTTTTAGTACTTCAGCATATAAAATACAAGAATTAATAACCTGTGTATAAAGAACCTTTAGGGCTTTTCCTATTTTCTGAATAACTAAGGGAATTTTGGCAAATCATTTAAACTCTAACTTTCACATCATCAAAAAGTAGCAGTCTTTAGTGTAAATATTCAGAAATCGAACCTGAGGCCTCACACATACTATGCAAGTGTTCTACCACTGAACTACAGCCCCACTTAGGTAATCCCTTGAAAATTTCATAATTCTCTATATTCTAGGAGTGCTTGGGAGTGTTACCAAGGAAAAGTCTTGTAGCTGGGCGCCAGTGGATCACACCTGTAATCCTAGCTACTCAGGAGGCTGAGATCTGAGGATCTCGGATCAAAACCGGCCCAGGCAGGAAAAGTCCATGAAACTCTTATCTCCAATAAACCACCAGAAAACTGGAAGTGGCGCTGTAGCTCAAGTGGTAGAACGCTAGCCTTGAGCTGAAGAGCTGAGGGACAGCGCAGTTTCCTAACGATTAGATTGAGAATCACTAATAGGTCAGTAATGGAAAAATCAAGGAAGCCATGTTTTACAGTTAATAATAATTTTGGTCTCTGGATTTATTCTGCATCATGATAATGCACTATTTAAGATTAACTATTTTTTAAACTATTAACTATTAGGATTAACTGTTTTTTTCTTTTCATCAAAATATCTATAAAATTTATTCTTGGCTATGCTTACCTTAATCTAGAAGTTATATTTTTTTAACCAGATATAAATCAGTGGTTGGTTGGTAGCATCCATTTAAAATGAAATAGTACTTTTGTATATTTTCTTTGTTTGATCATTCTTCATTAGATTTTCTAAGTATTGATAAAAAGTGTTTCCATGGAAGAATGTTTTAATTTCCCCTTTTATTATCCCTATAACCAACAATATAATAATCGGCAGAATGGTTGATAAGGGAGTGGCTGAAGAAAAGGCTGATAACCATCTGTCTCAAGTTAACATTTTCAAGCAGACTGTAGAAGGACTTCTTCCAATACAATTATTTCCTAATCCTTGAGTTGATAAATTTAAGAAATATTGTAGGAAATCACAGAAAATTTAATATAATTAAGTACAAATAGTACTTATTTTTTTTAAGAGACAGGTTTTATTACCAGGCAACAATCTCCAGGCTTGAGCAATTCTCCTGTAAGCCTTCCTAGTAGCTGAGACTCTAAGCATGCATCCTGTTACACAGCACTTTATTTATTTATTCATTTATTTTTGTGTATCTATTGCCAGTACCCTGGTTTGAACTCAGGGCCTCACATTTGCTTACACCTGGTTCCACATGATTCACAAGTGGGCTTTTATTTTGTTTTGTTTTGTCAGTTGTGGAACTTGAACTTGAGCTCTTTATGCTCAAGACTTTGAGCCACTTTGAGCCACAGCTCCACTTCCAGTTTTTGAGCAGTTAATTGGAGATAAGAGTCTCACAGGGACTTTTTCTGCTTGGGCTGTCTTTGAATTTCAATCCTCAAATCTCAGCTTCCAGAGTAGCTATGATTACAGGCATGAGCTACCAGTGCCTAGCCACAAGTGGGCTTTTTTTTTTTTTAATGCAGGCTGACTTTGAACTGTGATCCTCATGATCTCAGTCTCTTAAATTCAGCCAGGATTATGGGCATGAGCCACTAGAGAGTGGTCTAACATACAATTCTCTCTTCCCCCCTCCCCACCCACCATTTTTTGTGTGCCTGTCCTGGGGCTTGAACCCAGTCTGGGTCCTGTCCCTGAGTATTTTTTGCCCAAGGCTAATGCTCTACCACTTGAGTCACTGATCCACTTTGGTTTTCTGGTGGTTAATTGGAGGTAAGAGTCTCACAGACATTCCTGCCTGGGCTGGCTTTGAACTATGATCCTCAGATCTCAGCTTTCTGGGAAGCTAAGATTACAGGCAGAGTATTGGCACCTAGTATAAAACTGGTCATAAAGCTGGTACTTCATTCTTTTTTTTTTTTTTTTATTGTAAAGCTACTATACAGAGGGTTACAGTTACATGAGTGAGGTTATAAGTACACTTCCTCTGTGAAAATACCATACAGAGGGGTTACAATTACATGAGCAAGGTAATGAGTACATTTCTTATCAAGCATTGTTGCCTCCTCTGTTTCCCCTTCCCATCCCTTCCCATCTCCACCCCCTACCCCCCACCCCTGTGTTACTTCATTCTTAATAGGATCTGCAGGAATTTATGTGCTATAGTTTTATTTTATTTTATTTTATTTATTTATTTATTTTGGTCCCATCCTGGGGCCTGAACTCTGGGCCTGGGCGCTGTCCCTCAGCTCTTCAGCTCAAGGCTAGTGCTCTACTACTTGAGCCACAGCGCCACTTCCGGCTTTTTTCTTTTTGCTTATGTGGTGCTGAGGATGAGGAATCAAACCCAGGGCCCCATGCATGCAAGGCAAGTGCTCTACCACTGAGCCACCTTCCCTGCTATAGTTATAGTTTAGAAATCCACACAAAGGGCTCGGAAGGTGGCTCAGTGGTAGAGTGTTTGCCTTGTATGCATGAGGCCCTGGGTTCGATTCCTCAGCAACACATAAGCAGAAAAAGCTGGAAGTGGTACTGTGGCTTAAGTGGTAGAGCACTAGCCTTGAGATGAAGAGCTGAAGGACAACGCCCAGACCCAGAGTTCAGGCCCCATGACTGGCAGAAAAAAAAGAGAGAAAGAGAAATCCACACAAGCCAGGCACTAGTGGCTCACACTTGTAAACCTAGCTACTCAGGAGGTTGAGATCTGAGTGTCACAATTCAACGCCAGTGCAGGCAGGTAAGTCTGTTAGACTCTTAACCACTAGAAAAACCAGAAGTAGGGGCTGGGAAGGTGGCTCAGTGGTAGAGCACTTGCCTTGCATGCCTGAGGCCCTGGGTTCGATTCCTCAGCACCACATAATCAAAAAGAAAAAAAGCTGGAAGTGGCACTGTGGCTCAAGTGGTAGAGCACTAGCCTTGAGCTGAAGAGCTGAGGGACAATGCCCAGGCCCAAGTTCAGGCCCCACGACCGGACCCAAAAAAAGAAAAACCAGAAGTAGCACTGTGGCTCAAAGTGGTAGAACACTACTAGAACACTAATAGCCTTGAGCAAAAAGCTCAGGGACAGCACTGAGTTCAAGCCAAAAAAGGAAGGAAGGAAGGAAGAAGTCCAACAAAATTAATTTTATTTCAAGGTCAAAATATGTTTCCATGACAGTAGTTAGTCTTAGGTTGGAATGTCCAAAGACATAGGTACCAGTTGTGTGAGTTTAGTGCCATTTCACCCACCAAAGCAGGGGTAACTTCCAACCTCACAGAACTTAATCAAAACTTACAATCAGAGCATATTTAAAATTCAGTTCAGTCTACATGGAAAATTATTCTCTTAAATTTGGCAAGACAACAGCTACCCAGACTTTATGGTATACTAGATATCCAGATTTTTTTTTTTTTTCTCATCCTGGGGCTTGAACTCCGGGCCTGGACACTATCTCTGAGTCCCTTTCCCACTCTACCACTTGAGCCACAGTTCCACTTCTGGCTTTTTCTTTGATTAATTGGAGATAAGAGTCCCATAGACCCAAGCTGGCTTTGAACCACAATCCTCAGATCTCAGCCTACTAAGTAGCTCAGACTACAGCTAGGCTTACTGTGCCTTGCTC